TAATAATAATAATAATAATAATAATAATAATAATAATAATAATAATAATAATAATAATAATAATAATAATAATTTATTCTTTTATTTTTATATATTTAAATTTTTTTTTAAAAAAAAAGAAAATGGAATACCAATTGAAGGGTGGATTGACGATCAACATGATGAAGCATTATTAGATTTGTTGCCATTCTTAGATGCGTTAAGATTCACAGAAGATGTGAGATCCATATTGTCTCTTCAAACTTGTTGAAAAAAAAAAAATAATCAATCAACCAAATAATAATAATAATAAAATGGTGGACAAAAATGATCATGGACATTTTCACAGATTTAAAAATAATGTTATTATAGATATTTATTTCATATTTATTTATCATTTATTTCATTCTTTTAAAATTGAAAAGAACTGCTAAAAGTTTTCAAAGTCAAAAAAATTTTTTTTTAATCCAAGAGGAAATCTTTATTGTAGTTAATATTATTATTAAATTTTATAACTTTTGTGTGTATACATGTGTTTATATATTTATTTATTTATTTATTCATTTTTAAATTAATTTTTACTTTCTACAAAAAGAAAAAAGAAACTTTAAAGTTTGAAAATAATTCATTTAGGAAATCATATTTAAAAAAAAAATACACTACATATTTACATACACATACATAAATATATATCACATTTTATTATCAATAATTTATATATATATTTATATAGATCATAGAAATCATCATAAAAATTTGTATACATTATTTATTTTATATTTATTTTCACATAAAATATTATATATATAATCAATGAATCAAAGAAACAAATAATAATCTATAAATCAGTCTGTTATTCTAAAAACAAATATTTGATTAATTCTGATACAACTTTAACATTAATGCTATTTCCCAACACTCTATAACGTTGTTTTAATGTAACATTATCTGGAAATCGAAATGAATTTGGAAATCCCATTATTCTAGAAATTTCATATTCGGTAAAGTAACGAAGATTTATCTGAGTGGAAGAAGAAAGGTGATTTGCATTATAATAATTATTCGTTGATAAAGTTTTTTCTTCCGTTGCTTTGAAAATCGACGATGACTTTATACATATACACATATATTAATATTAAAATTTTTTAGCAAAATGGAATATATGTTTTTTTTTCGATAAATTACATACATTTGTATCATCATCCATTTGTAATATTGAACCAGTCGCTTCTACGTAATGATAATATCCTAAAGTATTCATATAATGTTTTTTTAAGAATTAATATTTATTCTTCCTCTAATAATAAATAATCATCTATATAATTTATCACCTTTTGTGAAACAACAGCTTCTTCTTGAATATGGGTTGACAATATCTAATGGATAAAAATATTAGACGAATAAAAAGACGTATGTAGGCTAATATTAAAAAATTCAAAATTTACCAAATAATTTTCCATATTTTATTAAATTCTAAATTATTAAAATCAATATATAAATATAATCGGGAATAAATATTATCATATCATATATTATAATTAATTATTACCTTGTCAGAAATAGAATACTTTTCATTATCAACATTATCTTGCAGGAATTCTTTGATTTGTGAAATTTCTATATTATTAGGAAGATTGATAGAATCAATATTTCTAGAATCTTTAAATGATTTATCATATGGCGAGCAAGGTATATAATCAAGTGTTTCTTGCAATTGATTTGAATATTTAAATTTCAATGGAATTTTCTTTGCCTGAATCAATTAGAAAATATTTTTATTTTATTTTAAATATTATATTGTTATTAGTATAACTATATATATATAAATATATGTGTATATTAATTATAATAACCAACCAACCAACAAATAATATCTTAATCTTGAATTAGGAATACCTAATTGTAATGGAGTAATTAAAAACTCTTGATAATTATAATCACAATTTTTCAGTTGCGCTAAAAGTGCGATCCTTGTATCTGATTCCTAATAAATAAACAAATAAGAGTATGTAAATGCATATACACATGTATACTCTCTATTAATATTACCTCAAATCCTTTGACGTTTTCAATTAAAAGATAATTAGGAGGTTTCTTCATGATCGATAATAGATTGATTAGATGTAAAAAAGATTTAGATCTAACATCTTTAGATCCTTGGTTTAACCCAATACGTGTGTATGGTTGACATGGCGGTGACATTAACCATACATCAGCATCCAATGAATCATAATATGATAAAGGTATATTTTCAATATTTCTCTACTTAATATTTAACAATTTTATTTATTTATTAATCAAAAACTAAAAAAAATTTTTTTTTTATAAAAATAAATGTCAAATACCTGATGAACTATTGACTTTTTTTTTGATTTATTACTGTTGTTATCATCATCATTATTATCTTTGTTTTCAAGATTATATTTATAAATCAAATTTGCTGTTGTATTTATATCAAAAGCTGCTATAACTTCCCCAGTATTGTTTGACAAACTGAATGCGTAATGCTAAATAGAAGTAATATGCAATTTTTTAAAAATTAATATATATTCATTATTACGATAATATAATAACTTTTTAAATCACCATTCCACCAATTCCTGAATAAAATTCTAAAATTCGATGATACATTTTTTTATAATATTTGACGTCTCACGTTCAATATTCAATTATATACATTGGAAAATTATTTTTCCTTAAAATGACCGTTAACTTCCAAAGTTTTCATGTTATAAAAAGAAAAACATTGGAGTAGCCAAATAAGCAATATTCAATATTTGCTTCATTTATAATTATTCCTTAAAAAAGTCAATTTCAAAGGTACTGCTGTATATTAAAGATGCACCGTTATATGCTTATTTATTTTTATATATTTAAAATAAAGACCATCACTGAACAGTTATGATATTTCTGGGCCCGATCATCATCATCATTCTCTACAGACAGAGAGAGTCTGCCTTTATAAATTCAACACAGTATGAGTATATACAACAAAAATGAAAATGAAAAAAATAAAATATAATCTATAAATTATTTTTTAATGACCCTCATTAATTAATCCAAAACTATAAAATAATAATAAAATATAAAAAAAAATAATAATATGAATAATAAGAAAAGTAATATCAAAATTTTTTTTGTTGTAATAAAAAAATTACATCAAATATACCTTCCTAATATTATTAATAATGATAACTCCCCCTTCTAATTTTTCGCAGATAAGAAAAAAAAAGAAACAAATAAATTACTGAATCATTAATATAAGAAAAATTGAACTTTTATTATGAATTTGTAGTTTGATGTAATTTGATTTTAATATTTTAACATTATGAGGCCACTAAATTGTAAATAAATCAAGAGAAAATTTAGAGGTTAGAAACATATTTATAATTCATTTAATAACAATATGATAATAATATAGCATATAAAATAGGACTTACTGTAATCATTTATTTCAACTTCAGCTGGCATTTCAGTTATGTTCACCTCGAATCTTTCTTGAACTTTGAATAAAGTGTCAGCATCCTCTTGATTAGCCACAAAAGTAATTGCAATTCCTTTGGTACCAAAACGTCCAGCACGACCAACCTATATACATAATGTATATTGATTTTGTCGGCAGTAGCAGAGATGACGATAACGATAATAAAGATGAAATTATAATAGTGTTGATTATGTTAATAACAAAGAAAAAATTAATTAGCCAGTCATTCTATTACTTACTCTATGCAGATAACTGTCAGGGCCATCAGGCATATCATAGTTGATAACTATATTGACCCGTTCGATGTCAATTCCTCGTCCAAACACATCTGTAGCAACCATGATCCTTTTTTGAAAATCTTTAAAAGATTTGTATCTTGCAATCCTGTTATTATTTCAATATTTTAAATCAATTAAAATTTATAATTTACAATCATTCTCATAAATATTAATCGATAAATTGTTACCTTTCTTCTTGTTTCATGGAACCATGGATACAAATGCTCGGGAAATTGCAGTCACATAAAAGTCTATTTAATTCATTGGCACGTTGAACCGATTTAACAAAGATACATACTTGATTGAATTCAAGTGTATCTAAAAGATCATTCAATTGCCGGTTTTTAGCAGCCTCTGTTAGTTTAATGTAATATTGTTGAAGACCATGTAATGTAAGTTTGGTTTCATCATCAACATAAATTTCTAACGGCTAAAAAAAAAAATTTTTTAAGTTAAAAAGAATTTAATTTCTTCAAAAACCTTCCCAAATTATATAAATATATAAAGTTATCCTTACATTTTGCATAAACTTTTTACATACTGGTCGAATTTCTTTACTTAAAGTGGCACTAAACATCATTACTTGTTTACTATGAGGTGTTTTACGAAAGATCGCCTGCACGTCTCTTCTCATATCTAATTAATCATAAATTAATAATGACGATAATGTAATGATTATTATTAATATTAAATAATATCTTATATATATATATATATATATATTATATGATATAAATCAGAATAATATTAATCTCATTAGGTTTAAATAAAACCTTAGACGAGCTGGGTTAATAGCTATGGCTTTTCATCATTTTTATATATTTATAATAATAACAATATATATATATATATATACATACATATATATATATATATATTAATTATATATTGAATAATAGAAATTATTTAAATACCTAATTGATCCAACATTTTATCACATTCATCAAGCACAAAATGTTTAACGCTACCAACTTTAAGATGACCATCATTAACCAATGCCAATACTCTTCCAGGTGTTCCTACCACAATATGTGGAATGGTATCTTTATTTGAAAATTTTTTATAGTCCTCTCTGATTGGAATACCTCCATAGAAGACATCAGTTTTGATTTCTGGCATATATTTGCTGAACCTACTATACTCGCTCCTAATTTGAAAAGCTAATTCACGAGTATGACAAAGTACAATAACAGATACTTCTCCTGGTGTAGGTTCTACTTGTTGAAGTGTTGCAAGAACAAATACTGCTGTTTTGCCCATACCAGATTTAGCTTGACACAATACATCCATTCCCAAAATTGATTGAGGGATACATTCTTGTTGAACTATATTTATTTATTTATATGTATGTATGTATATTATTTATATATAAATTTATTAGATTATTATTATTAAAAGATTGTTGAAAAATTATTATTACTCATGAATATTGTATATAGACTTTAAATATATATATATATATATATTAAAGGATAGATGTATCTATCTATCTAACTATGTATGTATGCATGATATTAACCTTCACTTGGATGTTCAAAACCGCAGTCAACAATAGCACGCAAAAGTTCCGGTTTCAATAAAAAATCTCTGAATCCAGTAGAGTGAATACCCACATAACTTCCCTTCTTATCTTTTTTATCATCATTCCCCTCCTGACCATTGATTTCAGATTGTTCAGATTGGATAGTTTCAGATTGCATGACTTCATCTTCCTCCTCATAATCAATCAAATCATCAGCGTGGTCAGTCATTTTTTATTCTTGTTTTTTATGTAAAATGGTTCGTTGACGTTTTACTGATAATTTATGCAGGTGAGATAGTAAAATTTTTAATTAATGAGAAAGTGTAAATAATAAAAAACCAAAAACTATTATTAATTAAGAAGATCTAGTTAATAATAATAATTTTAAAAAAAAAATTTTTATATATTGAAAGAAAGCAGTCGCACAAATTATCGACCTGGAAGTTTAAATTTAGGTGGTACGAAATGAAGTGCTAAACGCCACAATTGCCACACTATAATTATTTACCCATTTATATTGATGCCAAAAGGTCCCGTCGCGCTGATTTAATACGATTTCTTTCATACTCTAAATAAATAAATAAAATGTCTTTAAAACCATTATTTACGCGCTCTTTATTAAAATATAATTCTCATAGAATTAAATCTTTTAAATCTTTTGTAACAGAGACTAACATTCAAAAGGTTAGAAAGGATTAAATAAATGTCCACATTGTTTAAATGTTGAATATATTTTAATTGTAATTAATTAATTATAGTTGAAGGATCAATCATTATTAAAAAGTAAAGCTTTTATTAATGGTGAATGGATTAACTCAATATCAGAAAAAAAATTTTCTGTATTAGGTACAAGTATAAATATAATATAAATATATTCAACCTACAAATATTAATTAATAAGAATGTTTGTTTTTTTCAGATCCAGCTACTGAAAATGAGATTGGACAAGTACCTGAAATGGGTGCTAAAGAAACAAAAAATGCAATAAAGGCTGCTAAAGATGCATTAAATGAATGGTCAAGACAGCCCGCAAGGGTATAATTTAAAATTTGATTGTGTTATTTGAATTGGTTTGATTTAATTTATTGATATTTATTATATATATTTCATGAATAGACAAAACATGATGCTTTGAATAAATGGGGTTCTTTAATATTAGAAAATATGAATGATCTTGCTACAATACTAACTCTTGAAAATGGTAAACCATTCAATGAATCTTTGGTGGAGATTAAATATGGACAAAGTTTTATCGAATGGTTTGCTGAAGAGTCAAGACGTATTTATGGTGATATCATCCCATCAATATCCCAAGGTCAAAGATTCTTGGTACAAAAGCAACCGATTGGCATTGCTGGAATCATCACTCCTTGGAATTTCCCAAATGCGATGATCACTCGTAAAATAAGTGCTGCTTTGGCAGCAGGTTGCACCACTGTAATAAAACCTGCTGCTGAAACTCCTTTTTCTGCTTTGGCTTTGGCTGATTTAGCTTCAAGAGCAGGCATTCCTAAAGGCGTTATCAATATTATAACCACCAACGAAAATGTTAGTGAGGTTGGTATGGAATTAACAACTAATCCTGACGTTAGAAAAATTTCATTCACTGGATCGGTAATAATATTATTTTATTTTTCTTCTTTCAATAAGTAAAGATATTTTTATATATTTATAATCATTATTGAATCTTTAAAATACAGACCGCTGTCGGTAAATTTTTGATGGAACAAAGTTCAAGTACATTAAAAAGTATTTCATTGGAATTAGGTGGAAATGCACCATTAATTGTTTTTGATGATGCTGACATAGATTTAGCTGTTGAAGGTTTTTTGCTTTATATTTTTCTTTTTTTTAAAAAAAAAAAGATATTGTTTAATTAAGATTAAAGTTTTATATAGGTACTATTGCCTCAAAATTTAGAGCATCAGGTCAAACTTGTATTTCCCCAAATCGTATCTACGTGCAATCGTCAATCTATGCTGAATATGCCTCGAAACTCTCTGAAAAAGTCAGTAAATTTAAAATTGGAAATGGGTTTGATCCAACCACCACTCATGGTCCATTGATAAATAAAAAAGCGGTTGAAAAAGTTAAAAGACACGTTGATGATTCTGTGGCAAAAGGTGCTGAAATATTGATTGGTGGTACTAGACAAGCAGGGAATTTTTTTGATCCAACTGTCTTGACAGGAATGTCAAAGGATATGATTATAACATCTGAAGAAACTTTTGGTCCGATAGCTGCCTTGTATAAATTCGAAAATGAAGATGAAGTAGTTACTATGGCTAATTATTCCACTCATGGTTTAGCTGCCTATTTTTATAGCAGGGATATTGGAAGATGTTGGAGAGTTGCGGAAGCTTTGGAGGTTGGAATGGTCGGTGTCAATGATGGAAAGATTGGTTTTTGCGAAACTCCTTTTGGTGGGGTTAGTAAATTTTTTTTTTTGCTCGAGAAATAAGAACTAATTTATTAAAATTATTAAATCGCCATTCTTCTTCAAATTATTATTTCTTTATTAGGTTAAGGAATCAGGCTTTGGACGCGAAGGTTAGTTGTGTTAAAATATATTTATATGTTAGAATAATTTTTTTTAAAAAATCTCACAAAGCGGTGGTTTTTTAATAATAATAGGTTCAAAATATGGAATTGAAGAATTTCTCAATGTTAAATTTATAAATTTTGGTGGAATATAAAAAAACCTTTTTTTTTTTTTGAGATTAATATTAAAGAAATTGGTAATTATAATTGGCAGAAATCACGTGCCTCCGACTACCGTTTAACAATAATACAGAGTTCCTCTTTGCCGCCTTCTTCCCATTTAGTTTCTTTCAACTTGGCGTTAATAAACTCTCAACAGATAAACCAACATTTAAATAAAAGGCATTCCTTTTCCGCAAACATATCCATCCTACTTCTACTTAACGGAAGTGGCATTATTAATATTAATATCAAGTTATTAGTGAAATCAATTCTATATACATAGTAACAAAGCAAATGTAAGTTAGCATATGTTTAAAAGAAAAGTGCCCAGAGTTAGTAAACAGTATGCCAAACATTCCCTCAAATGGATGAATGGATAAATCAAGATGGAATGTGCGAAAGATGATTATTTGAACATTTGTTAAGTTCCATCCTATTAACTAAAAGCCAATGTTTTGAGCTAGCTCTTTTTTCCACAAAGTTTTCACGGATACTTTAATTCTTTCAAATTTTTCATTCTCGAATTTCTCATAATTTTCGACTCTTTAAGTAAAAATCGTATACATCAAGATTTAATATTTGTTGGTTTCGGGCAAGAAAATGATGCCGTAACGAGATATGCCATTACTATTTCCAATAGTTGAAGTCGGTCTCCTCATTTCATTATTTCGTGAACAAAAGACTTTCCAGTAATAATTATGTGCTTTTAAGTCATAGCATCCCTTCATTTATATTATTTATATTATCAAAAGATAACAAACTTCTAGTGGTGGTTTACAGATAGGTGAAAACCTAATAATAAAACTACTACTGCTCTTACTATCAAGACATTCACAACCCCATTGACTTTTTCTAAAAATGTTTCAACAATGGATATAAATCTAATGACCTAAATAGTTTAGAATTAGAATTAAATTTTCTTTTTCTGGCAGTTTTTTTTTTAGTAAAGTAGGATTGTGTGAAGAATCCATTAGATTGATATTAAAGAAGGTCCATTAAATCTTTCAAAAAAAATTCTAATTTAATAAATTCAGAATATTTTTTCGACCATATGAAGGGCATATTTCCAAGTAACCAAAGCTTTTGGAAGCAATTTTGATGCTTTCTTGTTCATTGCAATTTTCTATATTTCCCGTACAGAATTGCAGGCTCGGGAGAGTAAAATTTTCAACCCACAATAATAAAACTATAACGATTACAGACAGGTAAAGCACTTGTTATTATTAGATTAAATGATCCATCTTCATGTTATTGAGAACTAAATTTTTTTATTGAAATAGATCAATAAAATATAATTCGCCATCTCAAAATATATATATATATATAAATAAATTTGATTTCAAAAACAAAAAAAAATGTCTACAAATAGAAGTCTCATAAACTATAAAAAAATTCATCAATAATTTTTTTAGATGTGGTTATTAATAATAAAACTACATAATAATAATGATGATAAATTTAATTATTATCATCACAATTTATTTATTCTTTCATTGGCCTACATTGCTTTCTAGATCTTTATCCAAATAATTTTTTTTTTTAATTTCAACCATGTAAGGTTCTAATTATTATCGTTACCACTATTATTGCTATTAAAACATCGCAGATTTTCTCCTGTCAGCAGCAGATTTACTTCTTCTTTCAGCAGTAGCAGCATGAATCTTGTTGACAGCTTTACGACGAATTCGAGTAGCAAAATTTCTAGTCATTTCAGGTCCTTTAGGTTGACGGACAGGAACAATTGTATCTGGGTGAACTTTCATTGGACCACCAAATACACTAAATAAACAATATATATATATTAATTAGTATAATTAAAAAAAATTTTTAATTTTTGTTAAAATTTATTTATTTACCTTTTACGTCTTTCATCTTTTGTAACTGGAGCTGTGTTAGAACGTTGTTGATATAAATTGCTAGTTGGAGTTGAGGGAGGAATATATTCTTGTGATTGATCATAATAATAGGAATACTGTTGACCATCATCTGATAATAATTCATCTTCATAAGGATATTGTTGTTGATTATATAAATCATAAATATCAGTTGAACCTGTAAAATTTTCAGAAGGTAAAAATCTTGGTGTTTGCGGTGATGATTCTTGTGAATCTGAATCATCAGGATGACATAACATAACTACAGGTGCACCAGAACCTAACTCAACTTGAGAATAATTAGCTTTGGTGAATCTAGCAGGTATAGGATTAGAATTATAAAATCTAAGCCTTGTTTGTTCCAAAGTATTTAAATATTGCTCACTACTCGCTAGAGCATAAGCATGTTGAGAGCTACTTGAATTTGAAGAAGGCGTAGTTGGAAACCTTGAAGTGGATTGTCTGATGTCTTTTGGAAATCCGTTAGAATGTTTTGGAAAAGTAGCAGTTTTAGGAGGATTGGGAAGACTATAATTTCTGTTTGTTTTTGTTGGAAATGTAGCAGTCTGCGGGACTCTTCCTAAATTTTGTAATTGTGTTGCTTTTGATAAATTAAGTGGGTTTGGTGTATGTCTGTTGGAATTTGCCGTTTTTTGTTGAGTAGTAGTAATATTTTTGCTGCTTTTAGGGGGACTTTTTGATAAACTATTACCATTATTATTATTAGATGATGATTTTTGTTGCAAACTATTTTTATTATTAAATGTAGCGGATTTTGGTGATTGTTGTTGAATCGTAAAATTTTGAGATTTTTGAAATGGTGCAGTTTTTGGAGTAGTTCTGTTATTTTTAGTTGAGTTTTGAGAAGCTTCATTTATTAAATTTAAATTTAAATTTTTGTTATTCTTGTTTTTAATGCCAGTATTAATGTTGTTATGACCGCTGTTACCATTGTTACTATCTCTACGTTGTTCATTGTTTGAACTATTATTCCTCCAAGATTGTCTTGTTGGATCTTGAGTATACGGTTGATATTGCACTTGCACAGCATCCATTTTTTATTTTTTTCAGAGAGAAATATTTGTAGTAATTATTTTTATTTATAATAAACTGGGTTTGTTTTTATTGTTAAGTAAAAAAATTCTTTCTTTCAAACTAAATATATTTCACAAAATACTTTTTTTAAAACTATTAGTTAAATAAGGCGCATATGTTTTTGAGTAAATTGAGTAAATGTATAGTTTGACTTTTTTTTTGTAATGAATGACTGAGTACCTATTATGATTAGGACCAGCCAGTGGCCCACTTGTACCAAGAAGGTTGATGCGGAAAAAAAAAAGAAAGATTCTTGGTAAAGAAAGCAGGTTAAAGAATTTTAAATTTCTATATTAAATTTTATAGGGGTCAAAGGACAATTAAAATAATTTACACAAGTATATAAATAAATAAATAAAAACAATTTAATTGGGCGAAAAAAAAATAAATATCAAAAATTGCTAACTAACCTCTTAGAACATATTAAGTTTATAAGACAATAAACTCTACATGTACTCTTTCTTGTGTTTCCCACATTAATAATATAGTACTAATACCCATTTACCATTGAAGAATGAACCTGGTGACGATTTGCCTTTTTTTAGACCCCAATTTAATTTAAAATTTTATATCTATATATCAAGAACCCATTTAAACTTTTTTATATTTTTTGCTTCGACATTTTTTTCGCTGGAGGTTTTTTAGAAAATTGTACCTTTCTTTAGTGTGCAAGGGTAATACCATTTAAATTGTCAGGTGTTGGTTTGTTTAATCACGAACGTGGCTTATTTATGTTCATTTGGACGCAACAACCTATAATAGGTATATAGCTAGCCAACTGAGGAAACTTTTAAAAGCGATTGGTAATAATTAAATTATTACAATTGAAAGTAAACAAAATCTAATTGACTACAAAATTAATATTGTTGACTTTATAAACAATAATGTTTTTTTAAATGAATTTTATTTTATTTATATTTTGAAAAATATAAAAAGCATAATAATCTCCAAGTTTGTCAAGATCAATGGTAAACAATCCATCGTTTAGATCTTTAATTATTCCTTTTGTGTATCTATCATTAAATAAACTTGATTCCCAAAATAAGTTTAGCAACTTCTTAAGCGAAGAAAATTTATTTTTTGAATAATTGATTATTATTATTGTAATTAAATAAATCATGATATGGGGTATTTGAAATATCAAGTGACATATTATTAACATTATTACAAAATTTTAAAATTGAACCAACCACATTTTTATCTATAATATTTAATGACAATTTTCTGAGAGAGTCACCAGAAGTTTAAAACGAATAAATTGGCTTTTGATTGAGTGATTTTAAGATTACAATGTTTACAAAATCAAAATTAATCTCCTTTTCCGAATCTTGATTTTTATCACATAAATTATTGATATTTGAAATGATTTTAAATTTGTACATTTTGATAAGTTTCAAGCAATTTCCATTGATAATAAATTTAATTGATATCCAATAATAAGAATATGTGGCATATTGATGAAAAACTACTATTTAATTCTAGACTGATCAAATCTTTATAATGCCAAATTTTCAGAATCCGTGGAATCATGGTGTATATTGTTACACAATTGAGGTAATCTTTTAAGTGATTTGATGAGCTGACATGTAATTTACTAACATTTGATAAGCTGTGCTCACCTTTAACAAATAAAATAAATTTGGCATATCATCATACAAAGAATTGAATTTAACTGAATGAACATCATAAATAATGCTTTTCATAAGGAGTTGTAATTTTAAAAGAATGTGGAATTTGATCAAGGTAAGGGGAGAAAATCTATTGATGACAGTGTATTTACTTACCAAATTGAGAAAAATTAGTAATACCTTGTTTTTTTTTTCTTTTATTACTATATACATCCTGATTTATATAGTCTTCATCAAAAAGACATTTTATTACCACAAATACATGTAGCCTGAGTACCATCTTCAGAAATTTTTTGAACAAACTCATGGTTTAAAAGATGTTTAGTATATTTTATCATTGGATTTAATATGGGGCATACTGCAACAAAACCAGACAAAGTGAACATTGGTATATTACCAAAAATTTCAAGGATCAAAATTTAGTTATTATCATCACAATTAGTTTATAATGCCCCATTTGTTAAGTGATATATAGAACTGTCCCTATATAAAAATAATAAAATTATTAATATGAAATTAATTTACATTAGGTCTACCATGGAACCCAAGAATTATAGCACCATTAGAAGTATTTTGAAGAAAGAACAAGGAGAAAAAATTGCCCCTTATATTTTCAAAATAAATGATAATCAGGCATTGGAAACTTATCTAAGAAAAGAAAGGATTACCTATGAAATTTACCAAGAAGAAAGAAAAATAATAAGCATTAAGAAAAGAACATTAACACAGAACCTAGAAAATTAGGAGAAAATAATTTACATAACCATGTTCTTCAAATGGTATTAGCACTAAATTTGATTTTCTCATTGTAAAGACTTTCAGATATCAGTGGCAGTAGAACACTCATTAGTTATAATTTTACATATGGATTGACTTTTCATCTCCTTGATTTAAAAGGCAAATTTGGTTTTTTTAACTTCACTTACCTCTTTTCGAGTTTTTGTATAGTTGAGGAATGAACATTTGATCCTATTTTACAATGTCTCATAAAAACTATATCCTTCTTCAATTAGCATAATAGCCTTGATCCTTTGTTTCATTGTAAATTGTTTCTTTGAGAGGAGAATTGACACTCTTTTGTTAATTGCAAAAAAAAGATTTCTTGGAAAATTTATTTTTTTTGTTTAATTGTAAATTATTGAAAAAAAAGGAATCAAAAAAAATTTTTTGTTATTATTATATCCTTGAAAAAACACATTAATAATAATTCAAAGAAATTTGATTTGTAAAGTATTTGCACTAATACTTAAAAAATTCCTAATTAGTTTAAGAGAAAAAATTTTGTTAGAGCATAAGCATGTTGAGAGCTACTTGAATTTGAAGAAGGCGTAGTTGGAAACCTTGAAGTGGATTGTCTGATGTCTTTTGGAAATCCGTTAGAATGTTTTGGAAAAGTAGCAGTTTTAGGAGGATTGGGAAGACTATAATTTCTGTTTGTTTTTGTTGGAAATGTAGCAGTCTGCGGGACTCTTCCTAAATTTTGTAATTGTGTTGCTTTTGATAAATTAAGTGGGTTTGGTGTATGTCTGTTGGAATTTGCCGTTTTTTGTTGAGTAGTAGTAATATTTTTGCTGCTTTTAGGGGGACTTTTTGATAAACTATTACCATTATTATTATTAGATGATGATTTTTGTTGCAAACTATTTTTATTATTAAATGTAGCGGATTTTGGTGATTGTTGTTGAATCGTAAAATTTTGAGATTTTTGAAATGGTGCAGTTTTTGGAGTAGTTCTGTTATTTTTAGTTGAGTTTTGAGAAGCTTCATTTATTAAATTTAAATTTAAATTTTTGTTATTCTTGTTTTTAATGCCAGTATTAATGTTGTTATGACCGCTGTTACCATTGTTACTATCTCTACGTTGTTCATTGTTTGAACTATTATTCCTCCAAGATTGTCTTGTTGGATCTTGAGTATACGGTTGATATTGCACTTGCACAGCATCCATTTTTTATTTTTTTCAGAGAGAAATATTTGTAGTAATTATTTTTATTTATAATAAACTGGGTTTGTTTTTATTGTTAAGTAAAAAAATTCTTTCTTTCAAACTAAATATATTTCACAAAATACTTTTTTTAAAACTATTAGTTAAATAAGGCGCATATGTTTTTGAGTAAATTGAGTAAATGTATAGTTTGACTTTTTTTTTGTAATGAATGACTGAGTACCTATTATGATTAGGACCAGCCAGTGGCCCACTTGTACCAAGAAGGTTGATGCGGAAAAAAAAAAGAAAGATTCTTGGTAAAGAAAGCAGGTTAAAGAATTTTAAATTTCTATATTAAATTTTATAGGGGTCAAAGGACAATTAAAATAATTTACACAAGTATATAAATAAATAAATAAAAACAATTTAATTGGGCGAAAAAAAAATAAATATCAAAAATTGCTAACTAACCTCTTAGAACATATTAAGTTTATAAGACAATAAACTCTACATGTACTCTTTCTTGTGTTTCCCACATTAATAATATAGTACTAATACCCATTTACCATTGAAGAATGAACCTGGTGACGATTTGCCTTTTTTTAGACCCCAATTTAATTTAAAATTTTATATCTATATATCAAGAACCCATTTAAACTTTTTTATATTTTTTGCTTCGACATTTTTTTCGCTGGAGGTTTTTTAGAAAATTGTACCTTTCTTTAGTGTGCAAGGGTAATACCATTTAAATTGTCAGGTGTTGGTTTGTTTAATCACGAACGTGGCTTATTTATGTTCATTTGGACGCAACAACCTATAATAGGTATATAGCTAGCCAACTGAGGAAACTTTTAAAAGCGATTGGTAATAATTAAATTATTACAATTGAAAGTAAACAAAATCTAATTGACTACAAAATTAATATTGTTGACTTTATAAACAATAATGTTTTTTTAAATGAATTTTATTTTATTTATATTTTGAAAAATATAAAAAGCATAATAATCTCCAAGTTTGTCAAGATCAATGGTAAACAATCCATCGTTTAGATCTTTAATTATTCCTTTTGTGTTCCCAGAACGGTCTCTCCTGTTTAAGCATAGTGGACTTTTGATTTGTGTAACGTGACTATTAAAATTAGAAAAAATGAAATAGATGTCTTGACCAACTTTCTATTGAAACCATAGTATAAAAAAACCTATATCTAGGGTTTATATTCACGGATACTGTAAAGATGTCACACAGGGTTACACGCTATTAAAATCAAGTGTTTTTAAGGGATTTTTTGCTGATTTATTAGTGTGTAACCCCTTAACAGTATTCATGGTATCCATGAATACAAACCCTACCTACATCAATATATCATACAAGAAAAAAATTCTATATTGTTTGAGTATTATCTTAATATTAAGGAAATCTCCACCATATTCTTTAACACTGTTTGTGTATATTGTTAATGGGTAAAGCCTGCTTGTATACAATTTTTTAAACATTGTGATCATTAGATGGACTTTCTTCAATAATAGGAACAGAATAAATAAAAAATACATCAGGAAAATGTGTTTTTTTTTGATACACGTATTATATGTATATTATATGTGTATTATTTTACATTGCAGGTGATCTGCATATAATATACATATAATACACATGTCCATAAATTACACATGAATTATACATATATTATATGCAGATTACCTGTAATGTAAAATAATACACATATAATATACATATAATATGTGTATCAAAAAACACGTTTTCCTGATGTAGATAATATATTAATATTAATGATATCTTATGCATATAAATATATATCCTATTTCATTATGTGTTTTAACCTGTAGATATAGTAATAACATAATAGATATTATTATTATGATTTTTTAGAAATGTCTAACAGCATGAAGAATATTATGAAAGAGTGTTGATAAAACATTTAAAAAAAAAAAAAACTAAATAATGTTAATAAGTTTACCACAAGTGTAAGGGAAGGAAATGTGATTTATTAATCTCAA